CTTCAGCTTCCTAGCTGGAATAATATTCACAAAACCTAAGAACTAACTGAATTTACAATACTCCACAGAGCCCTCTTGACTCTGCTACTCTCCTCAGGGTCTCATCCGCCTGACTGAAAATAAACTCTCGCTTTCAAACCTTTTCTACTTAAGCTCCGCCCACCTCCTCTGGCTTGTCACCATGGCAACCTATCTCTCTCAGCTAGGCCATGGCCACAATGTAAAGCCTAAAACACAGTTTAAAACACAGTATAATAAACACTTCTCTACACCTTCCCCCCCAGAAAAAGTATTTTTGCACCATTCTTAGTCCTAGAAGGGCAAAAATAACTTCATACATTACTCAACAATAAATACATATACATAACATTCCTGAAAGGGAAACATATTATGGTTAAACACATTTATATTACACATTTATACAAACCTCTAACCTATGGAATCCTAGATAAAGCGTCCGCAACTACATTTCGTTTACCTGAAACATGTTTCATTTCAAACACAAAATCCTGCAAACACAAACTCCATCTCAACAACTTATTATTCGTACCTTTTGCATTATCCAATTTTTTCTCAAAACAAAATAAGTCTGTCCTCACCCTCTACATCTAACTGGGTTCTGTACAAAGACCATGGGTGAAGCCCAAGAGCTACTTAATGGAACAATAATACCTGGATCCCACATTTCTCTAATTTCTTTCTCAATACATTTATTAATTCTCCCTGTAACCCTGTAGGGTGGAGAGATTATAGGAGTGGCATCACCGGTGTTTATTTGATGCTGAACCCCTTGGACCTTTCCTGGCAAATCCGAAAATATGCCTCTATATTTACTTAACACTTCTACGACCTCTCTATGCTGCTTGTTAGACAATTCTATGTTCATATCTACCCGATCCAAATTTTTACACTGTTCACGATCACCCTCCCAAAAAGAAAAGGGACCGGATTCTTCTTCCGCAACAACAAAACATACATTCGCAGACCTTACAACATAAGGTTTTAACATATTTACATGGGCTCTCCTTTCAACATTTAAATGTTCATCATAGATGTCATAGTTCACTTGGTTGTGCTTTCTGGTGACTCTCCATGGTCCCGACCAATCTAGTTGAAGCTTGCTGGTTCTGTTGGGCGACAAAAACAGGACTTCGTCTCCCACATTGAAGGTTCTTGGTTTGGCCGTTGCATTGTAATAGTATTTTTGCCGATGTTGTGCTGCAGTTAGATGCTCCTGTGCAATGTCTCTGACTAACCGCATTGTTGATTGAAG